GGTTGCCGAGTTCACGAAGTGAATTGGCTTGTTTTACAACGTCGTTGCCAAGCGACGAAAACCCAATCCCGATGGCAAACACACGAGGGGGGGGCTTGTTTTACAACGTGGTTGCCAAGCGACGAAAACCCAAACCCCGAAGGCAAACACCGGGGGGGGGGGGGGGGGTTACTCATAGTCGTGCACGCCGTAGTCGTTAGACCATTGACCTCGCATCCCTACAATGCCGGGACGGAGCACGCCGGGTTCTCACCGGACAAGGCTATCACATCACCAAGCGCGAAGCGACGTGAGATATTCGGCGAGTCGCATGAAGGGTGCGCTGCATCCTGGTTAGGGTGTTCGGCATCTTGTGCCTACTTCCTTGCGTATGGATGACAGCTGCGTATGAACTAAATTATTTTCTGGATTCTTTCACTTCCACAGACAGTTGTAAGCACTGTGTAACTGCCTCGAGGATGCTTGACCATCTTAGCACAACAACGTGGTGCGATCATCCCCCTTGCGCGGAGTGAGGGTTCTCGACCCCGCACAACATGATCTACTCGACCACCATTAAGGTTTACCGCAAAAAAAAACAGAGGTAAAAAACGGTAACCGGGGGGGGGGGGCTATACTGAAATCAGGTAAAACAAGTAAAAAACAGATAGAAAATAACAATTTTTGAACTTCGCTCGCAATTTCGACACAGCTGATATTAATTTGTTTCGACCCCCGTCGTAGGGGGTCAGGTGTCGTTCTCACTGTGTCCGCCACTTGAGGGTACACGTTCCAATCGTCCGAGATCTGGCCGAGAATCACTTCGACGTTAAATATGTTGTCGATTACTGTGGAGGCGATTCCCCCCTGACATATGTCGGAGTGAAGCATGTACCCTGCGGCTTTTTGAAACATATTATCGCGGCGAGGATCCGGAAACTTTCGTCGCGAAGTCACTATTGCCATCGATCACACCGTCCTTTTCGGCCACAAAATGAACTTGTACGCTGTACTGGCATTCTACGGGGAAGGCCAGCGCCTTGCCTGAGACTCGAACAACCAGCCTTGCTTCCATGTTGTGCCATTCCATGACCGTGTATACATACGTCGTATCAGTGCATGTCTCCAGGCCAACCCAGGCCACCCCATATCGACGTTTGCGCCCACCACATCGCCAACATATTCCTCAGTACCAGTATGAGATATAATATATCGCAAAGATAGAGGCGATCCTACGGTCGGCTTACAAGAACTCCTCACAGCATGTTTACCATGCCTCCGTCCTCCTTTCACGCCGTCCCTCATTCCAACACTCGACGTGCTGTTGCCCGCAAGCGCATCAACGAGGATACATCTCCTACCCGAGGAAAATTCGCGAAGAGACCGGGAATCATCGCAACCCCAGAGGCTACCCATGCCGTCTGCAGGTATCCGACACAACGGCGGAGAGCAAAACAGAACGCGTCGGGACCCGGCAAAGACATCCAGCTGCCAGCTCTGAAGAGGTTGGCACTTCAGACATCAGATACACACCTGAAGGTTTGAACGACTGATCCTGTGTGGACAAGAGCTTTTTCGAGATGGAGATGGAGTGCTTTCTTACTGCGGTGATCGCATCATTCATGATGCCATACTGGGGATGGGATGGATCCAACTTCGTTGGCTACACCCTCTTTGTAATAACTACTTTGGGTGGGAGCATCCTCTTCGGCCTGATGACCTGGTGAGCAATAGAGTTCACGCTACATGACATGT